TTCTCGAGAGGGTAATGCGTGAGACATCCTAATTTGATGGCCAGTTTGCCGAATTCGGAAAACATTTATCGAGTTACTTGGCTTCACAGTTACACCTGATTCCTACTCAGGCTCCAGAATTATCCTACGTTATAATTTTTATCGGTCCCGTAATTGGTTTCCTGATTCGTCTCTACGAAATAATATTTTTGCAACTACCTAAGTTGAAACAGCCATTGAGCTGCATATAATCGATATCCATAGGATGACTGCGACGTTGCGTGAGTGATTTAAGCTTTTATAGCAGCCACGTGCTACATTACAATCTGTCGAAATTCTTCATTTAATTTCCTGCATGGAAATCGGCCATCAAATTTCCGAACAAATGTAATAAACGGTGCAACCAACAAGGCGCTTCCACTAAGAATGCTATAATGCTCTTTGTAGTAACGTTAAATAGTTGTTACTGCGCCACGAGCTCTAATAAATTAAATCATCAGGATTTGTATAACCTAAGCGTACCTTTGAAGTGATACTTTGATGAACACTTTCAGGAAGCGATGCACCTAATTTTTTTCTTCTTTCTCAGAATCAGATAGAATTTTTTAGGTACTGTCTATAGTTTTTCTACCACGCATGTGATCATTCGAAGATTCTATTTTGCTCTCCCACCACGAACAATGCAGTTTCTTCCCCTAATCTGGTTCATTTGCAACTGCGCGACTTTCAGTCAGCAAGTCAACTATGTCAACCACTTGTTCTGTACCTAGAGAGGATGAAGACTGATGTCAAATTATTAACCAATTTGACTTAGCATTCTAAACTATTAAACCCAAATAATTAAAGATACTCTACAAAAAACCATTCGGTTTTGCTTATCCATATTTTGTACCTTCATCAAACGACGTGCGAAAACGTGGATACAAATTCTTTTAAGATTGTTGACTGATAAATAGCAAAAAAATGTCATAGAAATTGAAACAGCATAGAATTCATCCGGACACATCGGCAAAGAATTGCAAGGACAATGGAGGGATATAAATTTAAAATGACGATTCAATGCTTCACGGGCAATTTGAGTGTGCATGCTGATAACAACTGTTTTGCTTTCTGAGTAGGCGTGAATGCGTAGAGGACCTAGGATACTCTGGCGCAACTCATATAGAATTATCAATACACTTTGTTTCGCCGCTTTCAAAATTTAATTGCTTTAAAAATACAAAGTTCAGTACGTGGTTTGATGAAATGCACACAACATATAAACTTTTAATTTAGTATGCTACGGAATGGACTGCGGACAACTAAAAGTGCGGTAATGTTGAATTAAAATACATTAAGTGTTATTGAACGGCCCTTGCTGCCCGTACAAAACTCTCTATCTATCTAAGGAACAGCACTCATACCAATACCAATATAAAGGAGATACCATTTAATCTATTTCTACTCAAGAAACCATTCTGGGTCGCCTAGGGTTGGTATGCAGGAAATTTTATTATTGTGTGTTCAAGTTCAGTATATCAAATGTGCGGTCGTTTGTTATGCCCGAAAATTTTTTTCCTATGTTTAGTGAATTCACTGTCATGGTATCGATCTATATGTCACAACCAGTATGTACAGATGTGATTCCTGCAATTAACACGCAACTTACCGAACAGTTTTAAAAAGTAAGGCATTTCCACTTTCTTGGTTTA